GTGCGTGCGTGTGAGACAATGTGAGAGAGAGAGAGAGAGAGAGAGGAGGGAGCCGGCCGTGGTCTCGTTGGTGTCTGGCTGTCGTGGCGCTGTCCCCACTACAGAGCACTCAGAGTCCCCAAGGGTGTGGAGGGCTTCTTGGAGGCGGCGAGGTCGTTGGGCAGGTCCCGTGGATAGGAAAGGGACATGCCCCTTGTGGCGGTCTTCGGGGAAGTGAGCACAGACCCACAGAGAGGACTGAGAGGGAGGGAGGGCTCATGGGCACCCAGAGGGGGCTGTGGGGCCAGGCGTGGAAAGCACTTCAGAGCAGCCAGCAGAAGGCCAGGCGGATGCTGCCCATGAGTTGAAGAAATGCTGACCAGGAAATGGCCCCTGGATGGCATTGTGACGGTCACCATTGTCACAGTGATTCTGAAAGCAGGTGGGCGGGCTGGGGGTTCTCTTGAGAACCTCGTCCCTTTTCAATAGATTTCTTCTCTTCCTTCCTCAAAAAGTATTTTTGGTTCCTCTGTCATTTATTTAGATTTGCTGTTTAATTATTCCCCAGCCTTTGAGTGGCCGCTTTCTAAACAGTAAACAAACACGGACGTATCTTTGTTTAAAGCGTTTTTATTGGGACTGTTTGGGTTTATAGTTTCAGTGGATCCACGGTCAGAGTGGGCTAAAAGTCCTGTTAATGATTTAGATGAGATAGTGACCCAAGAACTGGGCTAGAGGAACATAAAGTCCCAAGGCCACTTCCAACCTGTGATTGACTGTGTTCCCACTGTTGACTTTCACGTCTGTGCATCTGGTGGCATTTAGAATGTCAGCTGGGCAGAGGGCCACCATCGGGGAGCCAGAGGAGTGCCTGCCCCTGAGGGACACGGGCCAGGCTGTGAGACAGGCCACACAGGCTCTCGGCAGCATCACCCCGAGATTCTGATCCATTTCCCAGATGGGGCAGGGAGCTGTGATTACTCATGGTGGCCCAAGTCGGATGCTGGGCTGAGGGCCACTTGAGCAGATGGTCTTCCTGGTATGAGCTGGATCAGACGGAGGCTCTGGCCAGTGTAAAGCTAGTGGGGGCTCCTTGGTGGCAGCAGAGCCAGGCTGTCCTCATTTACGGGCTTCGTGACCATTGTCCCTCCTTTCCTTCCTGGGTGGCTTTGTGGATCTATGACAGCAGGGAGAGCAGGTCCAAGCACATGGTGGTTTCAGGTAAGCAGTGGCTCTGGGTCCCTGCTGCGGGCAGTGGTGCTTTTCTCCAAGGCTGAGACTGGGCTGGAGGGGCGGCAATGGCAGGCGGTGGCTGTGGTGTTTGCACACATGGGTGTGTGTGCATGCGTGGGCTGGAGACATGTTGTAGAAGACCTGACTCAGAGGTTCTGCTTTTCAAAGAAGGACTGTAGGAGCGGCTTGCAGAGGTGTCAGAACTGGATAGGGAATTGCCAGGGGGCACTCGGCGTGTGAGTCTGCTCCCTGTCGGGGCCTGCACACAAGCCTGCTGTGCTGGCTGATCTGTCATTTGCCAGGGTCTGTCCAGCCTTTGCACCAAAGGACCGAGGAGGGAATGCGAGTGGTTTCTGTCACAAGGACACACAGGCACACCTGAGTCTTCACGCCCATCCCCATTGTCCCTGTATTGGTCCTTGGTCATTGCAGTCCAGGGTCACGCAGGAAGCCAACATTGTCATACACACGTGTTCATGTGTGAGTGGGAGGCAGGAGGCGGGACTAAGACAGAGGAGCCTGGCGCTGGACAGAGCCTGTGGGGCAGCTCCCAGATGACTGCGTCCATGCTGTCTGCAGTCCGCACTCCCCTCATCTCTGAGGGCAGTGGAAGCTCAGGTCTCAGGAAGGTGGGTGCAGCGTATTTGCACCTGCCCTTGGAGCCCCAACGTGGGCCTACCTTGTGGCACTCACCTAGGTGGGGTTCCTGGACCATGGCAGGATGGCAGGTCATAGTTCCCCTCTCCTGGGGGCTGCTTCTGGGACTTCATTCCTCTTTATGGCTGAATAGTAGTCATTGTGTGGATAGACCACGTTGTGTTTATCCACTCATCGTTGGTGGACATTTGGACTGTTTCCCCCTTTTGGCCACTGTGACTAATGCTGCTGTGAGGGTTCGTGTACAAGTTTCTGTGTGGACATGTGTTTCCATTTCTCTTGGGCATACACCAAGGAGTGGAACTGCTGGGTTGTATGGTGACTATGTTTAGCTTTTTTTTTTTTTTTTTTGTGAGGAAGATCAGCCCTGAGCTAACATCTGTTGCCTATCCTCCTCTTTTTGCTGAGGGAGATTGGCCCTGGGCTAACATCCGTGCCCATCTTCCTCTACTTTATATGCCAGATGCCTGCCACAGCATGGCTTGATAAGCGGTGTGTAGGTCTGTGCCTGGGATTCGAACCTGCGAACCCTGGGCTGCCAAAGCGGAGCACGTGAAATTAACCACTTCGCCACCGGGCCCGCCCTTATGTTTAGCATTTTAAGGACCTGCCAGACTGTTTTCCATGGAGGCTGCACTGTTGATGTTCCCACCAGCAGTGTCTGAGGGTTCCAGTTTCTCCACATCCTTGCCAAACTTGCTGTTCCTCTCTTTGATTTCAGCTGTCCTCCTGGGTGTGTAGTGGTATCTCTCTCTGGCTTGGATTTGTTTTTCCCTGATGGCTAATGATGTTTAGCATCTTTTCATGTGCGTATGGGTCATTCTGTTCAAACCCTCTGCCCGGTTTCAGTTGGTCATTTGTCTTTTGTAGCCCTCTCTTCTTTGCTCACCTGGGAGAGTGATGAAGGGAGGCAGGGGTGCAGGGCCCTCCTTGTGTGTGCGGGAAGTGGGGGCACTGGGGCATGCTGAGTGGAGGTGGGGCTGCACTGGGCCTGGCTCCTCGAACTCAGTCTTGGTTACTGGAAGGCCCCACACCTGGCTGGACCCCGGCCACCATCTCTGTGGGCAGATCTCCAGGGTGTCCTCGGCTCTCTCCTTCTATGGTCTGTGGCTCTTGTTCCACAGCGGGGTTTTTTTCCTTCCTGTGTTAATTTATCTGAAGTTCAATCTTCCTGCTGTGCAGGCCACTTAGAACTGTCAGCTGACACAAGGCAGAAGCACCTGCCTGCGTGACCGGCCTCGTGATGCTGTTACACTTAGGGTTGTGGGTGGTGCATTCGGCCCGGCTGTGCTCAGCCTGGACCCTGGGCTCCATGCCCGTGGCCTCAGCGTCCAGAGCTCTGCTCTGATTGGGCCTGAGTTCAGGGCAGGGGCCCTAGTCCCGAGGGGTGGTGGGCTGGTTTTTTGTTTTGAACTGTGGTAAAGGCACATAACACTGGATTTGTCGTTGTCACCATTTTCAAGTGTCCAGTTGAGTACGTTAAGTACCGCAGGTCTCCAGGACTTCTCATCTCGCAGGTCTGACACTGGACCAGTGAACTCGAGTCCCCAGCCATGGTGGGCCTTGTTTTAAAGCAGGCCGTCCCTGAGCAGTCCCACGTCCACATCCAGGGCTTCAGGCTTCCTCTCAGCGCCTTGTCCATGGCTGAGTTTGGTGGAGCCACGTGCCCTCAGCCGGCTGCCTGGTAGTCCAAGACCCCCAACAGGGACGCTTGTGAAGAGCGTCTTGTTTCTTGCCTTATGTGCTCTGTGCTGGCTCTTCCCTGGGGCATCCGGAGTATCCACTCTGCCCTTCCCAGCTCTTGAAGCCAGCTCTGAGGGTGGCAGCACGTGTGGCCCTATGCCAGCTGGGTCAGCGCCTGCCCTCTGTCCATCCTGCAGCAGACGCCCCGCCTGGCTGTGGACAGCTCCTCCCCGTGACCCCCGTGGGGCACTGAGCAGGGCTGCGGGTCGGGGCGTGGACTCCAGGCACTGGGGTGCCTGCCCTTTGCCAGGTGAGGTTTGCGTCTGGGAGAACCTGCAGATCAGGTCCCTCCATGCAGAGCGGGGTCCTCTCATGTGGAAGGAGAGGTTCCCCCATGCAGAGTGGGGTGCCCCCACCACATGCACGTGCCCCAGCCCCCACAATGAATAGGTCCATTTGTGGCCGTGTCAATGGTCTGACTGTCTTTTCTTTTTTCTTCTTAATTTACAGCCAGAAAACCTACAGAAGAACTGGCTTCGGGAATTTTATCAGGTAAGAACTACTTGTGACAGCACGGTCTTTCAGGTGAATTGCTTAAGTGAGAGGATTTTGTTCTCGTGGAAATCCCACCTTATCTGTGTGGCATGCAGGCTGGCGCTGTCATGGTGCCGACTGTGACGGGCGTCAACTTTCTGCTTCACACTCGGCCGAGTTCCTCCTTGAGGCCCCTTTTCAGATTCCCCTCCCTTCGCCCAGGATTTTGGGTGCCTTTTGTGAGGGTCCTATAGTCACAGCATGAAGGTTGCAAGGCCACGTGGAGGGGCCACCATGGGGTCTGGGCAGGAAGTGTGGGTGACTGGGCTGGGGGGCCGGTGGACTGGGTCCGAGGCGTCCGGGGAGGTGCCGTCAGGACGAGGTGCCAGACTCTGGTGCGTCTGTCCAGCAGATATTGAGTGAGCCCCTGGTCTGTGGTGTGTTCTGCTCTGGGTGCTGGGGTGCAGCTGTGGGCGGACAGAGGGTTCTGCTTCCGGAGCCGGTGTTCCACGGGGAGACACATGGTCAGCACAGCCAAGACCGGTTCAGGTGTGTCCACGACAGTGAGGACCTGCGAGGCAGTAATCTGGGTCCGGGTTGTGTGCTTACATGCGTGTGCACCCCAGGGAGGGCGTTTGAAAGGCCAGTCTGAGGAGGGGATGTGTTAGGCTGAGGCCTGGTGATGAGAAGGGCTGAGCAGCCAAGGGCATCCAACTCAGCTGGGGCGTCGGGGTGACTGGGCCACCAGGAGGCAAGTGTGGCCGCCGCCCAGAGGGCAGTGCAGAGTAGGGACAGCATGGGGTGAGGCGGGGCCAGGCCACCACGGCTCTTGCTGCAGTGGGGGAAGGGCTGTGGGGGATCATGCCTCTGCGTCCTCCCTGTCCCCCCTGCATCTCCCCTGTCCCTCCTGCACCCCCTCTCCCTGTCCTCCTGTAGCTCTGCTGAGTCTAGTGAGTGTGTTTCGTGAGCAGGAGGCAGTAGCAGATACTGGGGGGCGGCCTCCAGGCCTCCCTTCCTCCCGACCTCAGGTCCTGGCTGGCTGAGACCCGAGGAGCTGAGAGGGTGGCACCATGGTGGGTCCACTTTGGGGTGAGCTGTGTCCTGACTGTCCTGTGCAAGGTGCTGGCTCTGGCTTAGGGTGGTGTGAGCTCAGATGGGTGAAAATGGACCAGTGAGCCGCTCAGGCTCGTGCAATCTGCACTGGGCACTGAGGGGCGGCCACGTGTTGGGTCTGCAGGTGCTGAGCCATCCACGTCCCACTAGGTGTTCAGGGCTCAATGGCAGGGCGGTGGTGGGTCCTGCTCCCATTCTGGAGATGACAGCGGGAACCGGAGGGAAGAGCCTTGGGGCGGGCCTTCCTGTCCCTTGCCTTCCAGCGAGGTGTGTTTGGAGGTAGTGTCTTTCCCTCCCTGTCCAATGTGGATTGTCTGCCAGGCATGCTGCTTGGTTCTTGACTGGGACGGAAGGCCTAAGAGGAGGGGGCATCAGGAAAGTTCTGGAAGGAGCGTCCTTTGGGATGGGGCAGGCGAGAGGCCATCAGAGGGAGGGTCTCTGGCAGTGGGGTGGGGCTCATTTGTGCATCACTGGTGGGTTCTGAGCCCTTCCTCCCCACCTTCTGCCCTGCCCAGTAGAAACTTAACATCAGGGACCCCCAGCTGAAGCCCAGGCTGGCAGAGCTGTTGCTGCGTCAGCTCCACACGGGCAGCTGACCGACTGGAGGAAGGGTGAGGTTCCCCTTCCTGGTGGAGTGCTTGCCTTGGGGGTCAGACGGGGTCCAGGGCCTCCCTCTGCCTGTGGCCGTGGGAGTGAGAGGCCCCAGTGTGTGGCAGGAGCCCCAGTCTAGCTCTCTCTATGTCTGTGTTGGTTTTGGCCAGAATAGCTGCCGTGTTAATTTACAGCTTCTGTTTGTTTTTCAGCAGTGGGCCCTGGAGGGTGCATGCGGAGCACAGAGTCTGAGATTCGTCAGGGACACGCTTGGAGGGGCGAGTGGGCAGCTGGCCTGGCTCTGGGCTGGGAGGGGTCCTCCCTCTGGTGGTGACAGCTCCAAGGCAGCCTGTGTGAAGGCTGCCATGTGTGGGGGCCATCTTTGGTGATGGTGGGGCAGTTGTGGGGAGCAGGCAGTGAGACCCGGACTTGGAAGGCCCTAAACCGAATCTCAGTGCACACTTTGAACCTTTCTCTCCCTCTGATTTTACTGATGACTTAGAGTCACTGGTGCGTTTATGATGGTCAGGTAGCCAGTGGTCTGGGAATGAGTTCAGAGCAAGGCAGCTCTACTCTTTGTGAACTCTTACCCCCAGAAGACCAGCCTCCAGCTGTTGCCCTCCTTTCTGGGCCTCCTTGCTGCACGTGAAGCCGTGTTGGGCTGTTTCTGGAACCCAGAACCCAACAGAGGGGCAGGCAGCCTGGCACTTTCCTCAAGGTCCATTTCCAGAGTGCCTGGTGTCCTTTTTGGAATACTCAGCCTTTGCAAAGAGAAGAGAAAAATGACAAATGATGGGGTGCTGCATAAAGTGTGCAGTTTTTCCTCGTTCACAAGCAGAAGCATCTTCAGAAGGAAGCAATTTCAGTGACACTTAGAGACTTTTCAGTGACAATTCTTAAAAGTCCGATTTGAACACAGGTCCCGCCTCCAACACTTGTTTGGGCTGACTTGGTCAGTCAGGTGATCGTCTGGCTGACCACGGCTTGGCAGCTGGCCTGTGTGGAAAGTGAGTGGGCCCCACCGGAGGAGGACTGACGGGACAACTCCGGTGGCCAGCGCTCTGGCCAGCAGCTCAGGGTGAGGGCCTTGAGACGCAGGGACGCTGAGTTGCTGCCACTGTCCTTTCTTTTCTTTCTTTTTTAATCCTAGAGTTTCTATTGTGCAGTTATTTTATTTTTCAGAGTTGCCTTTAACAAGCTGCTTTTATAAACAGAAGAACTGAGTATGAGCTTCGTGTTTCTTAGAACCGTTGGAATAATTTTTGCTTTTCTGTAAACCTTGATCACTAAAATCGCAGGAGGCAGGAGGAGATGCTTCTGACGTTCCGTCCTGGCATCAGAGAGGGTGGTCAGCTTTGCAAGAGAGGCAGAGCCTGGCGTCACCCCAGCTGGTCTCCCCATGCCTCCCCTGTCTTGTCCTCCCCTCCAAGCTCCGACCTCTCCCCAAGCGTCAGGCTCTGGGACCCATTGCCAGTGACCCTGCAGTCTTCCCTGTGTTGGGGTGCCCAGGCCCCAAGTGCGGGAGCAGGCCCGGCTCTCACCCACCCCCAAACCAGCAGCAGGCCTTGTGAGCCCCCTTCTCAGTCCATCCGGAACCTCCCCCGGGGCCTGGCCACATTCCCCGGTCCTTTCTCCGTGAGCAGCAGCAGCTCTCTGGAAATGTGACAGGTCATGTTGCTCTCCTGCTACCCCTCTCACTGGGGGAGCCTGGGGTCCCTGCGACGGCCTCCAGGCCTGCCCACTCACCCCGCGGCCTCCCTCGGTCTCTGCTTTGTCCTGCTGGCCGTCCTCCATCCCCAGACAGACTCGACGTTTCGGGCCTTGGCACTTGCTCTTCCCCTCGTGTTTCCCCCCGCCCCCGCCCTTGTCCTTGTCCCTGCTGCCCCTCGGGGAGGCCCCTCCTGGTCACCCTCTTGGCTCCCCCGTACTCTTAGGGTGCTCCATGGATTCGTCTCACTCTGAACTTGCATTCTGTACTTGTTGGTTACTTATTTATCTCCCCCACTAGAAATATAGGCTCCACATCTGCCAGGGACTGAGTATTTGTGTCCCCCAAATTCATATGCTGAAGCCTAATCCCCCATGTGATGGTGTTTGAGGTGGAGCCTTTGGGAGGTCATTAGGTTCAGATGAGGGCATGAGGCTGGGCCCGTGGTGGGTTAGTGTCCATATCAGAAGATGAAGAGACCATGGCGTAGGACGTGCCAGCTGCCCTTCCAGGTGCTGGGGGGCCAGCGGTGAATGGGCCAGACGCCCCCTGCCCTCGGGAGCTTCCACTGCACTGTGGAGGGATGCCGGAAACACCCCAGGGTGGCCCAGGGGCTGGCGCTGGGGAGGAAGTGAGCTGCCGGGGGGTTGGGGATGCAAGGCCCTGTTCGTGGGGTCCTCAGGAAGGCTCTGAGGAGGCCACAGCAAGACCTGAAGGCCGGGCAGGGGCAGCCACTCTGCCTCTGCTGGTCAGGTCTAATCTTAGTTCCTCAAGCTGTGGGCAAGGTTCTAGGAAGTTAATTTTAACTTTTTTCCCCTGTTTGTAAAGATGGTGTACTTGCATGTCAGCTTTAGACGGGGGACCTGTCTTGCTCGTTGCTGTATGCTGAGACCCAGGAGTGTGTCTGACGCATGGTTTGTGCTTAGTTCTTTGTTGAATAACATTCTGAGGAAATCACACAAAGCAAAAAAGTATTTATAAATAAATATCCCCGACCGTGTTCTGCCTCTAGTTTGAGGTACACACCCTCGTGTCTAATCATCTGTGTGGCTGGAGGAAAAGGTAACTTTCCTTAGCCTGTCACAGATAAATGTATTTTTACAGCTTACTCTTTTTGGTAGACTGGAAATTCTTTCTATGTAAATTAATATATGCTATCTGTTTTAACGGCTTCAGAGTATTTCATTAAATGGATAGGTCATGATTTTTTACAGTCATTTTTCTCTTGATGGACTCAGGATATTTCAAGTTTGTTTATAGTCATGCTACGGATAAGTTTTAAAACAGATATAGTGTTGGCTCACACACAAATATAAAATGAGCAAGTATTGAAGATTTTTTTATTGAGATAAGTATTTTTATTTATTAATGAGAGAACCAATAAGATGTTAGAATTGGTTCAAAGAAGAAAACAAACAGCAAACAAATGGATTCTCCCTGTAGTAGTGCTGAGTACATTTGCATGCTAGATGCAAAACTGCCCAATAATCAATGGCGTTCCACCACGTGCTGCTTTCCTGTGGTCAAGAATCATTTTCATTACTCTCTGTTTTTAGAAGTCACAGAATTGTGGAGTAGCTCAGAGATAAGTGGAGGAGAGATCACC